GGCAGGAAGCAAAAACGCACTATTCTATTTGCTGGGCTGCTTACACCTACTTCTGAAAGAAAAAAAATCTACTTTTGGAGAGTAAATACAGCTCGTAGCATTCTTCGGGCCAGCTTTTCTCGCTGCCTAATCTCACATGCCCATGGCATCGAAATTGCCGTGAGTCATAAAATGAGTGCGGGGATGTCTAAAGTTCATGTTCAAAAAATCCATGTTCTACTACCAGGAGGTTACAGGCTCGTTTTCTGTTGTCAGCAGTAAAGTTTCCTGTGTATGGTAGAAAAAGAATAATTTAGTTGGCGGGGTGCAGGATTTAACCAGGTAGTGCATGATTTGGCCAAAGCGATGCATACCTTACTGTACGATACAGAATTTTGCTGAGAGTGCGCAAAATTGTACAAAATGCATTCCAGCTAGCTCAGAATTGGTAATTTGCGTAAGAAGCTCCAAAAGATACTATATCTAAGAAAGCTGAAACCCAGTCGGTGGGAATAATTTTAGCAAAAGGGAATGCAATTATGGACATTTGCTGAAAATCCAAGCCGCGAATGATATTAATAAAAAATAAATAAGCGAGTGAATAAATGTGTGGTGGATTATTATAATTTATATAAAGGCAATGATGTGGGGATACGAAATGTGTTCACTGGCGAAGCTGAAGAGCGAGCTTTACTGTGACAAAGAGTGCAGTGGAAAGGGGGATGTATCCTTTCGTTACTGCAAAAACAATCAGATTCCCTGTAAAATGATGGATATCATAGCAGCCACGCGAGAAGAAAAATCCTTTAATCCTTGAGCAAGTAGCTTGCCTTGTCTGCAGTCAATGGATCTAACGCATTAGTAAGTGGCACCTGCGAGGAAGACGACCACTCGGACTGCTGTTGAGGAGGTTCAGTAATCCGCTTTGTCCATCGGTTGTCTCTCATTCTTTTCATATGATCAGCGTACCTCTCTCCTTTCAGGTGGTACACCAAACCAAAACCGAAGTGCTTCGTCGGAAATGTGCTGTAATTTGCTGATCCTACTATATGAGATTCCGTAGCTCGCTGGGTCATTGCTAAGCAAAAAATATAATAGGTATATAATGCGTAAATCTATTTAAGAAAAATTAAGAA